GGACCCCCCCAAATATTGACAGGTATTTCGCACACTGGTTATACAGTAGACATTTTCCTTACTAAAGGGAGTCCATGGAAATGTATTGTTACTGGTTTACATTCTCAGGAAAGATGCTTTAAATATCACAAAAAACTCTTTCATATATGCAGAATGTTCTGTAAGCAGCTTTAGATATTTCAAGATGACTGGACAACAGCAATATTAAATGTTATGACAACAGAGCGTACATGGTGAAAAACTGTTAAAGCAGAGCGCAGGCAAAGTAATTAAATACATCTTTGTTCCAAATGGTTTAAGATCTCCCAGCTATTATAGCTGCTGTTTTAAGGGATTACATGAAATACGACTTAGCACGTAGAAACTTCCACCCACTCACAACAAAAACTGGGGGAGGCAATTTCCCTTCTAGCCACACACCATACATCTTTTATGCTATTTTAAAATTCTGATTTAAAAAGCAGCTATTACACGAACCCATTGCTTTGCCTGTGAATCAAATGACATTCAGTATGTTGACAGCATTAATATGTATGTAAGCACATGTGTGAAGGCTAATTCAGGCTGTAAATGGCTGGAATAGATAATGTTTGAGTATGTATGTTCAAATCCCAGGTTTAGTCTTGTATTTTTGTCAGTGTTCTGATTTTAGGCTGTTTGTTCTTTCCTTTTTGTGTGCACACACATTTTTTTAAGAGGCCAAATGTACCACGTCCATTTTGTGCTGATCTCAGGCTTACTATAGCAGGGACAGTTGCAGCAGGAGAGTGATCATTGAGAGCTCCGTAGTATCGATCGGGCTGGTGTCACGGTCACTGAGAAGAAGGCTGACACTAGCTGGGATACCCTTAGGTTGGTGATGGAGCATCTAGCCACCATAGCAAACCACAGCATGATATGCTGCATAAGTTGAGACCCAGCAGTCTGTGATTTTAGGAGGGTATTATTCTTTTTTTATATACTTGCTTGCTGTTTATGAGTAATCAGAAGTCATTTTGTTGGTACCATTGTCTCTCTCCTGCTAATAATGAGTGTCTCAATATGAAGCATCTGTTATTTTTGTTTAAGAGAGGGTACATTAATGTGTGTGTGTACATCAAAGTTACACTCCCGTTAGCTGCGTTCTAACCCAACAACCCTTAAAACCCATAGGATGTCACACCTGCAGCCCACAGAGTCACATCTCATTTGACCCAAGTGCTGCTGTCGCTTGCAGTATTCTCACTCACACAAACAAAGTGATACCTGACTGCCTTCTCCCTTCAACTCAAACAGGCACTACTCTCTATCCAACATACACACACAGACAAAAAGTCATGTTTTGCTTATGGAGACTTTGCATTGCATTCCATTCATTTCTATGGCCTGACTCAGACCCTAACCCTACCCACTTTCATACATACATACATAACCCTGATCCTGAGTCAGTTCAAACCTTTTTTTTTCAGTTTTTATTATTACACTGTCACAATTACAGAGCGATGAAATTTACTTTTTGGTGGACTGCCATTGTGCGGCGCCTGGGGAGCACTGTTGGGTTAAGAGTCTTTTGCTCAGGGGAACCAGAGTGGCAGTCTGTGGGAGTGGGGCTTGAACTCAGAACCTCTGGATTCCAAGCGTAATGCCCCAACCACTAGGCCACCACTCCCCCATCAAAACTTAGTCGTTTCCTCACAAGGACCTGTAAGACCCCACAATGCCTTACAGTGTCTCTACAAGGTGACCAAATGCATCAACACAACCCCACCTCACACTTAAACACTGCATTATTCTATAAAACATGAGCCTGTTGACTTCTCACACTTACTCACCTGTCTGAGTCGGAAAAAAACCCTGCATACTCATTAGACAAAATTAATGATAAATTAATTTCAGTTTAGCATTGTCTAATAACTTCTGACTATTGATCTAAGACCAACACAGTAATTAAAATGTTTTAGAAAATAGGGATTAGGATGGCTGTGTGAAGATATGGGGGACAGCCTTTTGAGATTTGATGATTTAACTTTCTAACTAATTTTTAAGGTTCCTGGTATCCTTTTTTCCCGGAAAAAATATCTTGTTTGAGTCTTGTGCCCTGGCCTTTTCAGGTATAAAATTAAGCAAGGTTTTCAAGAGCTTGCATCGGTTCCACTGATTATTTTGCATGACTGGAAATGCTTGTCTGTATACTCACATACTTGTATGACAAAATGAGGTTATATGATTAAACTAGACACGTACAATTTTAGGTAGCTTCTCATTAAAGTATGACATTTCGGGAAAAAAGTGCTTTGGGTTCTAAGGTTTAAATAATATCTACCAGGAGTAGGACACAGTTCATTTAATTTGATTTGATCTGACTTTCCAAAAAAAAAAAGTTAACAATCAAAAATTTCCAAGTTTGAAGACGTTTCGCTTCCCATCCAGGAAGCTTTTTCAATTCAAAATGTCAGAAATAGCTTTAAATTTCGAAATTTTATATGGTAGACCAACAAAGCCTTGTTTTTGTTTAGAAAACATGCAAATTAAAACGGACAAATAGATCCACCCCTTTGGAATGGGGGTTGTTTGGCTTCTTTTGTTAGCCTACACTGCCCCATACCTGTCTGTACTTGTATTGAAGAAGAAGTGAAAAAGCTTCCTGGATGGGAAGCGAAACGCCTTCAAACTTGGAAACAAAGTTCAGTGGATTGTTTTGTTTTGTTATCTTTTTGGAATGACTATGACCTGGATGACTGAGAATTTTCACAAACATTTAACCATACTTTTTTGATTTATAAGAGCCAACTGGCAAAAAAAAAAATGATTTATTAATATTATTCTGTATAATTCTTGATATAGGTAATAAAAATACTGTTCACAGTAAAAAATGAAAAAGGACAAACTGTAGCAGGGTAACAAACAGAGATATCAGTTAGTGACGGGTGAATTGACTATGGCAGTTTCAATTATGTTTAGACAGGGCATTTCCACATGTACAATGCACAATGTAGCTGCTGTACAGGAATGTGCCTGTAAAACAAAGTTGAAACTTGATTCAAGGTTAATGTTAGAAAATAAAACTAATACGTTTTTTTAAGGATCTTTAAGAATCAAATAACAGTGAACACCGTTTACTTGAAACTTGAGGAGCCCAACCAGGGTGATATCTGTGCAAATCCAGGTGTAGCTGATGGGACAGTTTGAGCAAGCATCTGCTGCATGCAGGTACAGTAGCGACCAACATGCACTCAGAACCAGAACCACTTCCAAGTTGAATTTCTGTTCTTGTTTTCAACCTACATATTGTGACCCTTATTACTTGCTCCGGTTATCTAAGTGTAATACAAAATGAGCTGCAGTGCTAACATTCAGGCATGACATGCTGTGCATTACAAATATAAAAGGTGCATACGGATGAAGTCCTTGCTTGCATATGCAATGTCTGTGACATGCAAGTGCACAGACTTAATGTGCTATTACACTTACTGTAGTGCTTGCACAAAGAGCTGCATGCATTCACACTCTTGAGTAAACATCAAAGATGCCAAACAATGAGTGGGATTCAAAGAGAGGGGTGGGATTGCCCTCTGTCACTTCAAAGCTTCCTGTTTTTAAAGAGAAAACCATTTCCAGCCATCCCACCATGCCCTCTGACGTACGGTTTGATCAGTCATTGCAAACTATTTATCTCTCTGTCTCTTGTGTCTTACCTATTTTGTTAGCCAACAACTTATATGTAAACTCAGTTAAATGCATAATTAAAGAGCTCTGTGAGCAGATGGTGAGCTGAATCAAGTGAACACTCCTGGTTGATGAAGCAGGAGCGATAAAGGGAAGATTCAGTGAGAAGGAGAAGACAGCACATGATAGATATTGAAGAAAAATGATGGGAAAAGACTAAATTAAATTTAAAAAAGCTGACTCTCTTTTTGACAGGCACTACCTGGCTTGAAAAGATTGACTCACAGACTTTCTAATGTCATATTTAGTCAAAATGGGATACATATTTAGCCAGATCTATTTCTATTAGGAAAAGGTAATGTTAAATTAAATCTAATTTACTCTGACTGACAGCTTTCCTTTGGCCAAGTGAGAGAAACACAAACTGGTTTGAACAAACATTCATTGAAAACGCAGTTAAATCAGTCCACCCTACTATACTGAGTTTGTTCCAAGTGTGTTAGCACATGAATTGGCTGAAGGATAATTTTGTTTACCTCTCTAAACAGATCAATTCTGGCTGCTTCTATTCAAATGAGATGAAGCATGCCAGAGCCGAGTCTCTGGCCTCTTCCTACCAGTGCTGTCAGGAAAGCATAGTGCATAATTTCAAACAAACTCAGCCCCTTGATGAACTTATAGAGTAGCTGCAGCAAAATGTAATCTTTATAAAAACCTACTTATATACGGTGTGTTTCATTATAGTTTGTTTTTGCTTATTTTCAGGGTCAAGTCATGTTTCGTAATGGAGAGAGGATGGGCACAATAAAATTCAACCAGTTTCAAGGTAATTTTCTCATAAACCTGTCTGCTTTTTGTCTTGTTTTGCTCATTTAGGAGACTCTCGCTTCCAAATGTAAGATTTTAACATTTTGTCACGTTTCAACCGTAAATTGTAATGCATATCTCTGATGGTTTCATGTCCCAACACAAGGCATTAAATAACTGTCAGGTGAAAGGAGACGACTTGCAGTTTTATTTTCATTTTATTTTCAAATATATAGTTAGAATTATTTAGATTTATATTTCACTAAAACGCATGAGGCTTATTTGTCAGAATAAAAGTGTTTTTTGGAGATAACCTCTAAACAGGTGTAAGTCTAATTACTGTTCTGTTGTTTTAGGGGTCTCGTGCAATATTTGAATTTCAAATGTGCTTTCATCATCTGTAAGCAGGCAGCCTCATAATTCAAATAAAAAAAAGAGCTCTTTAGATCAGTTTTTGCACAAAAGTAGTTGGCCAAATAGCACTACTCTCTTGCAGCACAAAGGTACTGGGTTTGAACCCCAGTGCTGTGTTTATCTGCTTTGAGTTTGCATGTTCCCCATTTGCATCCATGGATTTTCTCTGGCTTCCTTCCACATTCCAAAAAAAAAAACATGACTGTTTGGTTAAATGGCCTCTTTAAAGCACCTTTGTGTTTGAGTGGGTGTGTGCATGGTTGTCTGTCAAGTGTTGCCCTGGAATTAACTGGTACTCTTTCTGACTCCCACCTGTGGACCATTCGAGATAGAAAACTAGTGGTAAAAAAAAAGCAGTTATGGATGGATAGATGGATGGATGGACGGATGGACGCAATGTTATGAAAATAATTTTTTAGCTCGAAAGTTCCTGAGACGCATTTTACTGAAATACCTTGCATGCTATACACTCGTTCTATTCTGATACTGCAGATGACGAACATTATTCAAATTGTTCAGACTGTTTTCAGGAAAAATGTCTCCCTAATGTTTTCTCTATGGGGAGGAACCACACATCTGGTTAAAAGAAACATGAATAATTATGTTTAGTCTCCTCCTGAAGTCATTAAATGAATTCGTAAAAGCTATAATTAGAATGATAAAATGAAAAAAGTCTTCTGTTTTCCTCAGATAGTGACACCATCCTGTGGTTGTTTTTGCACTGACAGGATTTTCTGAGAATAACCCAAAAAGATTGGATCTTGATGCAGGGGATTCCCATCTCCCAGGCATTCAGGACTGTATGCAGCACAGCAGAATGGTGCTGTTCAGTCCCCCACCTTCTCTCTATCTCTCTCTCTGCCTAAATAACTTATCTTTCTGACTGCAGAGAGGCTTGATCCCTCTGGCTGGTTACAACTCACACTATCAAACCCTTTGCATGTACCGTATTTCTCTCAGACCAGGAGAAGTATTTGGGACAGAGTTGATGTGCAGAGTCAGGGTTTCTTAAAATTTGCATACATCTAGTCAGACATCTGTGCACGCTGTAGATTTTGCTAGTTTTCACTTAAGGACAATCTAAACCGGGCCTGGTTTAGTGCGAAAAAGCTGCAGAACTTTTTTACTGACTATCACACCTCTAATACCACAACAGAGCCTCATCAAGTTACGCGATGTTTATCTATATCATCTCAAGGCACTTTACAATTCAATCAGATCATACAGTCAAATTTTTAAAAAGTTTTCCATCAAAGGAAAACCAGTTGATTGCATCGACTCAATGACTCAGAGGAAAAACTCCCCTTAACAGGAAGAAACCTCCAGCAGAACCAGTAAGCGGCCATCTGCCGAGGCTGAGGTTATTGCACCCCTTATTTGGTGCCCCTGACAAGTATTGTGGCGAAAACTCAGCAGAGGAAGAATTCACTGGTAGACCTTGTGAATAACAAAACTATATGGCTTTAACTATTCCATTCTTTGTCATTCTACACATAAAGTTAGATGTTGTGCCTTGTTTTAAGGGCCTTGTACTGTTCTGGAGTGTTAGTGCATGGTTACTGCATCTATATCCTGTCAGATACATTGGTACGAGTAATTGGAGAAAGAACAGCAAAGATATCCAGTATTTAGGCCCGATGCATTCGCAGTCAAGTTTGCGGTCCAAAGTTCTAAAGATGATCCTTTCAGATAGATTTTAAAGATAAATAAATACCACTGATGAACAATTTGGCTTTGACAATAAACCAATATATGTATTTATGCTTTGAAAGACGCAGCAAGCAAATACACAAAAATAAACGTAATCATAGAGACTTAAAGTCTGTAAAGCAGATTGTTTGGTTTGGAGACTGTATTAAAGGTTGTGGAGAAGGTTAAATATCTTGGTCCCATTATTAGGAGTGATTTTGGTGATCATGATGATGCTGATGACGATAATGATGATGCTATACAGAGACAGTATTGCACATTATGTGCGCAAACAAACATGGTAGCACGTACATGTATAATTTCAGAGTTGCTCTATTTAAAGCCTATTGTATTCCACTCTATGCTGCACATAGTGAGCTAATTACAAGGCTACACGCTGCATACAATGATGCACTTCCGATTCTATTAAAGATACAGTAGCTCACTGGACTATCGCCAGTCAGCTGTTTGTTTAAAATAATGTACCCACTCTAAACACTGTGATTCCTCATTGAGGAATGTGTCGACATTATGTGGATTGTAGTGTTTAGTTTTTTTGTTCTCTATTTTTTATGTGTTGTTGTCTTTTTTTTTCTGGACCAAACTGTCAAAAATTATGAATGACTGATTTAACTTTTGTCTTATTTAACAAAACTCACTTGTTTTTTTCCCTTCTTTACATTGCTTGTGGTAAATGGTGGTTGGTACCTTATATTGCTTTCATTTGACCCTGGCTTTCTTCACCACACTTTTCCATTAGTGACATATTTAGTAGAAAAAAAAGAATCAGTTTTTGAGTTATGTCACCAAATTATTCTAAATTTCTAAGGATTCTCCAAGGTTACTATGCGCCTCTTGTTTTTTTCCGATCATTAGTTCTTCTTGTCTTCCACTTTAGGTTAATGTCTTGGTAGTTTATCACTTGTTCCATGGCCTGTCCATTTTTAAATGATGAATTCAACAGTGTCTGGTCTGATGTGTTTCTTCGAGTCCGTTATACTGTTTAACAATGTTTTCCAAGAGAAATGTTAGGCCCCCTAAAGACCAGCTCTGTTTTATAACTCTGGTATGATCACACACAGGTAAATTACAAATTAGGTGAAATTTCATTGTAGATAGAACTTTTATTTGAGGATTTTATGTTAAAAACACCTCTAAATTACTTTTCATTGATTCTATATTGACGACATTTTGAAAAATGCAATAAATTTAAACTCACGTTGGATTTTCTTACTTTTTAACTTAAGTTTGTAAAATGATGACTACAAAAGAAATCTACTCAAATAGTTTACATAGAAATATTTACGGTAAGAGAAAACAACTTAGTTTTTTCTCTCCATGTTTTCTCTTCTATCAGATCTTCACATTAAAGACATTTGGTCTCACCTCCTCACCTCATTTGAACCTCACTCCACCTTTTCTATCTCCCGTACACTTGGAGAGTGAATCTGTCAGCCCTTTGTGACACATCGCGGCAACGCCTGACCTAAGTAGAGAGGACATGAGAGGCGGACCCATTTTGAATATTTTAAAAAAGACTTATGCACCACGTGACACTCTCACATGTCCTCAGCCCGTGATCCTCAATTTCTCCCTGTCAATCTTTTGTATAGGCAGCAGCGTCTCACCCCTTCCTCATTTTTTTTTTTTTCTCTTGAATCTGAGATAAAGTTCAGTACTGGAGATTCTGATCTCACTCTGAATTAAAATCAACATGCTACCAAGCATTGATGATAAGAAACTATCTGTATAAATAGGACAATTCTATAATAGACAATATATCGCCTTCTAATGATGTGCGTTTTTGTCAGGATGCTTGAGATCTCAATGTTACACATATTACCCAACTTTCACTCAGTTTTCATTAACTTCTGCAACAACTCTCCATAATAATATACCTAAACATGCAGCCGTTTTTTTTGCATTTACTTAATCATGTTTCGTTACTTTAACAGAATTATTTCATGTTAGCTGGGTAGGACATAACACAGTTGTGTTAAAGTAACTACCGTAAATATGATTAACTAACTGCAAAAAACAGCTGCCGATTTTTTTAACCAGTGAGATAAAGCGTTTCTATTGTATGTTCTACTAAAAAAGATGAAAAGAAAACCAATAAATAAATAAAATATAGAGCTATCACACCAATCAATCAACCAATCATCACAAATCAATTAAAAAACAGCTGATTTCTAAGGATTAATTCCACTGGACAACCACACAGCATATCTTTCAAATTGATTAAAGATAACCAGATGTGACAAATGCCATGTGCTGGCCGACTCAGCATTGGCCCCTTTTTCTAAACCCTTAAAAATGACTGAGAGCCTCCCTCTTTTGGCAGAAAAGGAACATTTTCCTTAAAAACTAACAGACACTTTGACCTGTCATACCTCCATCCACAGATGAGATGTCTGCATGTTTACAGCTCCTAGTGGCAAGTTTTCTTTTATTGTTACAAGAAGCTGAGGACTTCAACATATAAGTGGTGTTATTTGAGAAAATAACTTGAAAACTGTTTGGTCAGTCTGAGAGCAATAGTCTTTTGACAGTCCAATTTTCTTTTGTCTTTTGTTCCTTTGGAAATCTTTCTCTCATACTATTGTAGCTTGGAGACAGCAAGTTCATTGTCATTGATATAATAGTAGAAACTCATATTTCTTTGATGAGTAAAAATAGCAGTAAAATTAGAGTTTATTTCTTTGCAAAACATGTTGTGAAACTTTGTAAAAAGCAGACTGACTTATTAACATATCAACTATTTTGACTATAGGTGTTAAATATGTTCAAATCATTTTTCTACATCTGCTCAGTCAGCTACACTGCAAGGAGAGATTCAGTTCCCAAAAAATACCATTTGAATCCAAATGAGCCAGGCTACTGCTTTATTAATTTCGTAATGATGATCAACTGTTAAAGCCCACTCTCTGGAGCCTGATTTGGAAAGAATTTTACCAGGAGAAATTATAATGCACTCTGTGATTTAACACAAAATGTTAAGTTTTAAAGGCCCTCGAAAAAGACATTTAGAGCACTGAGCTGTTACTTCATATTTCTCTTTTTTGCATGCTGCAGACTTGTTCTTACTTTACTCGTGATATGTCACATTTTAGAATAATGTGCTTTGGGATGACTCTAATTGAAATCAGTGATCTACAGCTCAGGCAGGATTAAACTGTTAGATTCTTGCACCCTATCTGCTTGCATCCCAAGGTTGAAAATCCCTGGTTTAAAATATTAATGTTCTCTAATTAAAGCATGTTTTTCTATGTCCATTTACTTTTTCACATTATTAAAATGTTCACTTTAAAGCTAAATTACGTGTGATATTTGGGTTAATATATAAAACATGTGTCTAAGTTATAAATACATGGATGAACAACTATAAACTAAGACAGTTTCAACGCCTTTCTGTTACTTTCTTTTTTGCTTTCTATGACTGTTTCTAAAGGGTTAGAAAAAATGTTTATTATTTTTTAAAATTATATTATATTAGCAGATTTTTGTATGGTAAAAGTTTCCCATTTCCAGCCGTTATTGAATTTTTGGTGAGGATTAAAGATAAAACGAAGTAATTAGCCAAATGGGGAATTGCTGCTCACATAAATGTTGTCTATCATTTTTCTTGTCAAGGACACTTCAGCCTGAAAGTTCAATTTTAAGAGCGACAACAGAAAAGGCGTTTAGGCTTGTACATGCAAACCTGTAGGTTGTGTGTGTGGCATAAAATGAAGAAATTGAAGAATGAACAGTTTTTTTCCCCTATCAAATGTTATTTTCCCACTTTTAGAATCCAATGAAATTACCTTTAGAAGGTATTAATATGGAATATACATTAATATGGAATATACAACTAATTGATACAGTGCTGAGAAGAAGGTGGCATTCACAAATACATGTAAATAATGGTGTTTTTAGAGCTCTCTAAATTGCTATTAATGCATACCCCAAAATTGGAATATTGTTATATTATGGAGGGTGAGATGACTGCATCTTTCCTCTCTAGCTGTAGTTCTAGCAGATTCCCTCTCTGGTTTCAAAAAAGTTGTTTATTTTAATTGTTTATTTGCTTATTGGTGCAAGGCTCATAATGACTATGATGCAGCTATGTAGCAGGCATATATTATCAGTGTGCACACTCACACTACATATAATGCTCAGTAGGTCAGATTCCAAGGCTTGGCGGCTCAACAGAAAGTTTTTGCAAGAAGGAAGTTTGGACATCAGCAGGCCCTGGATTAAGGTCCTGAATGTCAAGATCCAAACAAGAAAGGTCAGGTGCAGAGAGCACTTTGGTGCTTTCGGAATAAAATCAATGCACCAACTTAGGCTTACTTGACTAGTGAAAAACAAAACAGCAAAACGTAAACAGGAAGAAACAGAGAAGTTTTTGGACAATGTAAAGGGATAATTACAGTTTGGGCATGGATAACAGTTTTGCCCTAGAACTCCTAGAGAGAGCTTGAACTGACGTTAACTTCTGCTCTTGCAAATGTTGTTTCCACAGCCAGGGCTGTAGTTGGGCTGGGCTGGCCGCATTATGTTAGTGAGTGGCTGTTTGTGGCAACTCCTCACTGGATTAGAACTATAACCTACATCTGGCAGGAAGTTGCAGAAACTTAATTTCACATATTTACTTATAATATCTGTTTGATAATAGGATTGACACAGTTGCTATGCAGGTAGCTAAACTTTCTCTATCCATAATAGCAAAGTGTGTGCTACAAAACATACTGTATATCTGGACACTGTAGTACAAACTGTTTTAAACATTAAAATGTTTATGAAAACCATCTTTCTGCATAGGCCTGTACCTCAGACTAAATCTAACAATTCATAAATGTTACATGATTTTTTCAGCATTGTTAAAATTCAACATTGAATGGCTAATGGCGGTTTTTATACTGAAAATTTAAATTCAGCAGTACCTATGCTATTTTCAATGAGTTTAAACAGATATTGATGTCATTTGACTTTTTATCTGCAAATATATATCTATAAATATATATATATAAAATCATTTTATTAATCAGTGTGTGTGATTTTTCTATTGTTACAGATGGTCAGGAAGTGAAAGTGGGAGAGTACAATGCCATAGCTGATGTATTGGAGCTCCAGAACACCTCTATCAAATTCCAAGGTATGTCAATTTATGGAAATTACAGATGAGTCTGATTGTCTTTGTATAGTGAAAACTCTTGCATATTCCCAACTTTTCCTCTAGCATAAGAGGAGTTCATTGACACTGCACAGGAAGAAGCACTTTTCTGTGAATTTGCCAAAGCAAGCTAATAGAAACTAGCAAAACTATTCTACCACTCAAGACATTAAAACCAAAATTCAAAATGGGAAAACAAACACACAATGTTTAGCATTCTTTCACATTTGAAATGAACAGGATATTGTCATTTCATTTTAAGATATCTTATGTTTGTTAATAATAGCAGCAGTGTTTCTGTGCTGGTGATAATTATGAATCAAGACTTTAGAAGCCATGTTTAGATGTAAAATACATGCCTGCTGTATGATGTAACCATGCTCAGAGTAATGCATATCACATCCAATACAACCAAATATATTACTTCACTATATCAAGTGTTGTGTGTCAACTGCCTATGCAATAAATGCCGCTCTGATATATGCTCTCAACTATTATTCAACCAATCAGGTCTTGTATTATGAAACATATTCATGTTTGTATTTTCCAGATGAACTTAATGGGCAATGATTAGGTTGCTGCACAAGACTTTGACCAAGCTGGTTCATAGCTTGTTCATAGTGCTCATAGCTTACCATGTAACCATAACGATTTGAAATAAAATAAAAACCTGAATCAGTTCTCATTCATTTAAATGACACATTGATTTTTTGTTTTTCAAAATTGTTAGGTGGTGCAATTCACCAGTTAGAACAGTGCAGATTATTATACCACTTTAGACACAACTTAGACTTTTGCCCTAGAGATCGAAAACTTGTTTATGATTCATGGTCAGAGATTCAGGTCTTATTAAAGGATTTTATCTCATGCAATGAAGCGATATGTGTGCAGCTGCTGTGCATGTTTCACTGGGATAGGTTTAGCTTGAATGGCTTTCTAACTGTGTGTAACTGTGTCTTCATGATGATGATATATATCATCAATGTTCCTCCAAATTAATGCTGTATTAAATTACTTTAGATCACTTCCGAACAAAATGAACACAATTTACCTCCAAGTTTATCTGGCTGTTAAACAATTTTTGATGTTATTTGTACACTTTATTCTGACAGAAAAATCTGTATAATACTCCTTATTTTTCTTTTAACTGATTATCTAAAAATACCTGCACTTCCCGCATCAGGCCTTCCAAAGGTTAACACCCATTTATTATTTTAAAACAATTTGCCTTGTTCCTTATTTTGTTATTTGAACATTTTTTATCAGTTAAGGGCAGCAACCTATGTTTAAGATGTGAATAAAGAAAATAGTTTTGCTATATCATTAAACAGTTAAAACAGGGAAACCTTTAAAGCTATATTTGGTGTAATATTTTGTGTATTATATAAAACATGTGTCTAAGATATAAATACATGGATCAACCACTATTGACTAAGTCATTTCAAAATACAAAAGACCACCTAATTCCATGAGTAATTCATATTAACATTAAAACATATACAGGTTTGAAACCCTTTCTGTTCATTCCTCAGCACATAAACCTCTTAATGTCTCTAAAAGGTTAAAAAAAAAATTTTAATGTATTAATTTTTTTATTATATTGATCAATCTTCAGCAGGTTTTTGTATGGTAATTTAAATGTTAAAAGAATAAGATTTCTAAATGTTAAAAGATAATTATATATTATATGTAAAAACAAAGTTTTTAGGCTTGACTAAGACTTGGAAAAAATACTTGTGAGCATACTTGGTCCAAACTTGGCCTTTTTCTGTTTTTTTATCTGCTTGTTGCTCATGTTAATTGTATTTTCTCATGATTTTGTAAAAGAAAAACTCATTATGAAGGAATTTCCAAAAAAAAAAAAAACAGGGGTAAATATTATACTTAAGCATTCTTTTATATACAAAATTAAGTATTAAAATCTGCACCCATATTTTAGGGAGCAACAGCTGTAAACAATGAATCAAATTCTTTAAGTTACCTTCCTTAGGTCAGAAGCCTAACATTTTTTGAATGACTAACGATTACAATTCAGTGCCTTAAACTGGCCTCTTGCCTCTCAATTATTTACCGTTTTATTTTTCTCCTCTCTCGGGGTTTGAAATTGTTGACATACTTTCGAACTTGTTTTATCCTTCTGGCTATTCTCCCCCCTTAGCTCTCTTTTGCTACATCTTTCCCTGTCCGTCCCACATAAAGAAGTGAATATAAATCCCTCAATTGGTAAATATAGAAAGGATTCCTCCTGATTAATAGGTATATAAAACATGAAAAAATTAAGCCATTTAAAAGCTGAGCTTGAATATTTTCCTATTTGCAGCAGTTGAGCATTTTTAGATGATTTGGGAAAAAATGTAAGTGAAGTAAATTCAAAGAAGGTAAAATTTCAATAAAAAGGTTTAGCATAAAAAAACAATTCAAGGTTTTAGTATTAATTTTATTTTGTCCTCTGTGATAGGTGTGGAGCCCCCCAAAGATCGAACATTTGTTCGTCTACAACGGCGCCACATCAATGTGCCACTGTACAGCATCCTGTCTACCATAACCATCCTAGGGATGCTCATGGCTGGGGCCTTTCTATTCTTCAACATCAAGAACCGAAATCACAGGTAAGTATTTGGCAACGGAGCGTAAAAACCTTGACATAAATGTTAACTGGTGAAAAGGAAATGCACAGTTGTGCACAGTAGGAAAAAGATAACTTATCAGCTTTTGCAAAGGGAGAAGTTGAGGCAAGAGGGAAGGTTAGAGACGCATGTATGGGCTAAATGATCCTATAAAGGGGAGGGAGTCTATTCTGATAATATAGAACTGTGTCAGATAGTTGTAATTTTGGATATTCTTTTAAATACTGTACAATGTTGTAATTTTAAAGTTAAATTTTTCTAGCATCTATTTCATCTTTTGTTCCTCTTCAGACTTATCAAGATGTCCAGTCCGTACATGAACAACTTGATCATCTTAGGAGGCATGCTGTCCTATGCCTCGATTTTCCTGTTTGGTCTTGATGGAGGTTTTGTTTCTGACAAAGAGTTTGAAACACTCTGCACCGTAAGTCAACTTAAAAGTTTTTAAAGATTTTAGTTAATTGCCCAAAATGTACGGTATTTTATTATGGTGGAAAATTTTACGTGGATTTCAAACATTTTTTTCATGCTTTTACCTAAAGGATATTGCATGGATTTTTCACTCAGTAAAAGTGAAATGAAATGCCTTGAGATGTCACCTAGTATTTCGAGTCCAGTCTCAGTATAAATGTAGCTGGTCTGTGAAGGCCTCAGAGGTTTTGCAGAGAACATTAGTGAACGAATGTTGGCACAACAACAAAACCTACCAAGACATGGCAATCAATCTGGACTGACAGGAGAGCATTAATCAGGGAATCTGCCAGGAGGCCCATCATAATTAAGGAGCTGCAGAGGTCCACAGGTCAGGAGGGATAACCAATCGACAGGCTAGCTGTTGATCATACACAAAACAAATCTAGCCCTTGTGGAAGAGTCACAAAAGGAAACACTTTATTTGGGGGGCAAAAAAGTCATAAAAATAAAGCCAATGTGGAAAAAAGTTTTGTGGTCAGTGATGCTGTGACTACAATCAATAATAGTCATGCAGAACTTTCACTTTAGGGTCCTGTATGGAATTTTGGGTCATATTTTGAAGATATCTATGAAAAAAAGAGAGAAAAATTGATAAACAATGGATAACTTTTTTTTGCTTATTAGTTTTTGGTCTAACATTCTAAGACTCAACAATTACAATGCAATTATGACTAAATGTGAGAAGTTAAAGAGGTATTAATGCTATCATTGTGTATTGTCAATTCCAGTTGTTCCATTTGTGTTTCACTTTATTAAACATATGCTAAAATAAAAGTGACACACAAACCTCTCACAATCACTATGTGATCAAGAGAGGACAGACTCAATCTCATTGCAGGTCTCTAGCTAGCACATAGTGCATTAAGTGTTTCCCCCCAGGTAGCAGTAACATGACTATGTAGATACTGGATTGATTAAAGAGTTTTGATTACAGCGATAACTAGTTTCCATTGAGATAACACACACACACACACACAGCACAGCACAGACACAAGTAAAGACAAAACATGACACGTCTGGAGCCAGGGCTAAACTGGCCCAGGCATTTTTTTTTTTAGTTACATTTTATGGGTAGACACACAGCATGAGTGGTTTCAAAAGTGAGTGAAACAAATTAATCCAAAGTAAAACAGAACATTTACTAGTATTAAGTGTTTTAACTGAAAGGTGAACTGCTAGGATCACTGCTACAATGGATAAAATGTATATTTTAAAAATATATTACTTTAATATAGATATATATGTTGGCCAATGGCACAATGGGCATCGGCCTACCTGCCTTATGCCAAATGGTCAATCCAGCCCTGTCTGGACATGCTCTCAACCAGATGAAGCAGTGCTGCAAAACCAAAACAGAACCTGGAACTTCAGGAGAAGATTTACAGCAAAGGGCCGCAGAACTTAATAGATAAATGAGCTGGTCTTCCAATGAAAAGCTCATCTAACTTTTTTACCTTTTGTAGCCAAAAAACTGATTAAGTTTCTTCCCAAACCTCATATCAGTAATTCTGACTGTTAAAATAACAGGTGTTTATGTTTTAAATGTAAGAGCTTTTTCCAAACATAATAACATTCCATAAAAAACAAGTAATTCTGTAAGAAGGCAACATGATAGAAAATGTATAACAACCTCTTTCAGTGAGCATTCACAATATTCCTTCAATTTGATCAAAGAGGCTTTTAATTCAACATTTCTTTTTAGACTATTTTCCTATCCCCAGAAATAAAGATTTCTGGACCCATGTCACATCCATATTTTTTGACAATCCAAAATTGAATTGTTCTTGTTATAAAATGATTCAACCTGGAGAGAGTCACACAGAGAAAATCTGCAATTGGAAAAGTTTTCTTCAATTAAATGTTATTCATTTATGTAACTAACACAGTCAGTTTGGTAAAAAAAAAAAAAAATGCTCCCATCTAAGGAAATGCAGCTAATTGCAACACAATACAATCCCTCACATCAAGCATGCATGTAGCAACAGTGGAGAGGAAAACTTCCTTTTACATGAAGAAACCACCAGAACCAAGAGTGTTGTGAGCGGCCATCTGCCGAGGCCGACTGGGCTTTAAGGAGACAGAAGATTTTGGCATGAATAAAATAAGATCTTTGGCTCTCGGGCCCTGGCGAAAGACTGATGCTGAGAATTTGCTTGGATTAGTAACATGTAAATGGATTAGAGTACTCTTCTCCTTGATGCCAAGACACTGATGCTTAACCTAAAATTCATCTCAATTTTCTGCAAAAATGCTTTGTTTGTCCACAACTGACTGGCACCATTTCATCCACTCTGATAGTATAGTTCCACCATTTCAAATAATGGTCCATGAAGTCAAGTTTGGTTTTATCAAATATAGAGACATTCCCCCAAAAGATAGTGGTTTATTTTTGGCTTAACTTTGTTTTATGTCGTGAAAATCTATTAATTTGTCAACACTTAATAATAAACGTTTTCACATGTTGTTACATCTTCTTCTATATTTCTGTTTGTCTCCTGAAGCCTACCTGATTGGTTTCAGTCTCATCTTTGCCCTTTTGTTCTCCAGTTATTGGTAACTGCCTTCACCATGCCAGATGTTTATTCTTCATTTCCTGACTTATACATTACCTCTGTTCAAGGAGAACTTTGTGATCCTTTATGACAACTGAAAATTATTTTGATTTATTTTATTTTATTTATTTCATTAATAGAAAACAACATAACAGAGCCTGTGCTGGAGACAATTGAAATAAACAATCATGAATGAAAGAAAGAAAGGGAGCAGAAAGAAGCAAAAACGATTAATATGTATCTATAATATATGTTAATTTTTTATATTAAACTATGGCTTTAGAAATATGGAAATGTTTGGAAAATCTAAATAAAAATGGCTGAAATTTTTAAAATAATTAGATTTACTAAAAATACTACAGGTATGAGCCAACAAGCAATTACTACGCTCTTAAACTGAAACATTCTACTTTTATTCAGGTCTTTGTTTTAAAGGTTGGGATTTATTTAGTTTTTTTTTTTATATCGCTATTTGTATACATTTCTATACATTTCTTTTATTATAAATATACCTGTTGTCTTGTCACATTAGAAAGCTTAGAAAATTCATGTTAGAAAAGTTGTAAAATGCTGGAATGACTCATCAAAGTAGCAACTAGTGATGCTTAAGTAAACTCACCACTCACTTATGACTGTGCAGCTATTTTGGGATTCTTTAGATTTTATTGAATATTCAATCTTTTTTAACTCATCAGCATAGTTTTTTGTGCTAAAACGTAAGAGGTCCACATTTTGTTTTTACTTCTACTAAGAAAAAAAACTCTTAGAAGTCTGACAGCCCCAGTGCTAAGGTTGCTCTACTGGAGCCCTATGAAGTAAAAAATAAATCTGTCAGCTTCTTATTTTTAGAATGCCTCGCAACACTTTTTGAACCAATTTATCTTTAGATACCTGTCAGATCAGATACGGTTGAGCTTTGATTACCCCATCAGGACACGCTGTGACTGTGTGTTGGTGTTCTGACAGGTTCGGACATGGATCCTCATTGTTGGATATACAACTGCTTTTGGCGCTATGTTTGCCAAGACATGGAGGGTACATGCCATCTTCAAAAATGTAAAGATGAAGAAAAAGGTAAGGAAAAACATTAATAATTACATAGATTTGTCCTGGCTTCATAGGGAAATCTACTCAAGTGTACGGTTTTGAATCAAATTGATTTACTGTAACTCCCACTTTCTTACCTTAATAAAAACCAAAATTTTTCTGTCAATCTTGAAGGGAATTTAAATGTTGTAACTTGATTGATCCAAGTGACATAAAACACATTATTTGTACAATCCTACCTCAACAGATTATGACAGAAGAAGTAAAACTCTCCAAAACATACATTCACATGCAAACACTAAAAGACAAGCTTCCTTAAGACGTACCAGCTGCTCAGTCCCTTAATAAACACATTTTCAGTGTTGTTTCACCAATTCAGTCAGATGTTCCGCTTAAAAAGCATATCAATGTTTTTCTACCACCTCAACCTCCACTCGAATGCTGGATATAGAGTTTGGCCTGTTCCTGCTTCTTCTGAAATATTTTGGGCAGTGGCGGCTGGTGGAGTTTCCTCCGGGGGGCTACAAGTTCAAAATACATGTATACTAAGTTATCACACCAGTATATTTATATGAATGCCAACAACAAAAACATTATAAAAACACTTTCTAAAAACAAAAACATAATTTGCATGGCCCAATACTGTGTGATATAAAATAATGTACCAGTTTAATAATGGAGAACCTATAACTCAGCTTTATATATCTTTTTATATATAAACACTATTTATTTTCTTAGAATTTGTTTATTTAAGAAGAACTATAATATAGCGTTTTAAAAGATATATTATATTATTTTCCATGTGAATCCTATATTGTTCATTCGTCTTTGCCTTTTCTAAAAAGTGTCATGATGGGTACTCAAAGAGTGACCCAATTATGCAGAACACCACTAGACGGACACAGGAATAAAAGTTCAACAAGTTTATTTGGTCACAAGCACACTGAATATACTGGTTCTGGTTCGGGCCTGGATACTGGTTCACCGGAGTCTGCGTGAGAGACAGTTCAGTTAGCGTAGCACATTGGAGCTTGCTTCCTTGATTGTTACAGATTGTACCTTGAGGGTTCTTGTGGTTAGCTTTGGGAGAGTCACTGTTGGATCTGGAGAGGAGTTGATCAGCAGAGTCCGTTTGCTGCTTCAGCGTCTCACTTCTAGTTTTGAGCTGACCTTGGCTTTGGGTTCTCCAGCTCTTAGTCCAGAGCTGCATGGAAGTTCACTGAGGTCCTTCAGGTTTGGCTCTGAGGGTCGGCTCGGCAGGTTAGCTCTTCCTGAGCTCCACAGAGGAGAAACTGGTTACCTGGAAGACAGAGACAACGGTTAGAATCCAGGCTGGATTCAAAGTCACAAAGATTCACTGAGAGTCTAGGCTTAGGCGCTGACCAACTGGATCAACACTGCAGCGTTGAGGCAAGGTCTGAAGACAGCTTATATGGTGGATCCTCTGATGATCTGATGGGCTGCAGCTGTGCAGGAGGCTCACTCAGAAGGATCCACGGCAGACTCTGCTGGAGAAAGGTGGAACTTCTCCAGCTCCCAACAAAAAGTGCTTCAAATCAGTCCTACATGTCTTTATCCATGCTGGGTCAGATCCCGACTTTTAAAAGAAGGCAGGAAAGCAGGATAAAGCTTTAGCCTCCCTGCATGCAGTTAGTCAAGCCTTGTAGCTAAACCAGGTCCCAGTTTCTCCATCTGTCTTTGGACTGCTGATTCATTTTTATGTTTGGCTGATCAGGTCCAAATGGTTTCACCTCTACCTTCTCTTGGTAACTTGGCTTTCAGGGTGTTCACTTCTGCAACTCGACCTGTCAATCAGACGCACTACAACTGTGGCGACATCTCGGGGCGCACCCGATGTGCTCTTCTATATCTTTGTATTGTCACCAATCCGACGAAAAACGGAACAGCTTTACTCGTCATTAAAGATTAAATATTCATCTTCCACATCTAAAAAATATATGTCAATATATTTCAAAATATTTCAATTTTATAATTTAATTTTAATTTTTTTTGTTGTCTTAATTAAGGTCATTGGGTGGGTAGGGCGGCACACTAGCGCCCACTATTGGCCAGCTGCAACTGATTTTGGGATTAAGGCAGAAAAGATAAAAAGCACCTATAAAAATCTACATGTAACGTACCCACAAAACACTGAAGAAAATCTGGAGTTTTTGGGGGTCATGAGAGTATTACAAGTTTCTGAGACGTAGATTAGCATTAAACTCTAAATAAACTCAGTGAGGTCAACTTAAAAACAACAGAAAGGAGACAGCTTGTGCTCTATATTTGGACATTGATCTTGAAGTAAAGCTTTTGGATTCTTACCTCCTAACATTGCGGTATTGCTGATGGAGCCTGGACTTGAATGGCATTTTAACAAATCTGAATACTGGTGACTGCAGCACCTACTTTGAGAAATTTCTCTTTGGGAAAAAAGAAGATATAGACATAAAGACAGTCTTTTAAAATAAATGCGCTGACCCGTTTCACTAGCCCAGTTATATAAAGTGCTGCACTCTCTCCGTTGAAAGACTTCATGGTCTTTTGTATTAATAGCTGTTCCCCTCTCCCACTCCATTTCTCTTTCTTTCACATAATTTTTTGTATTATTGTAAGGTTACCTGGCCTCAAACTGAACATAAAAAGACAAAGAATGTGATGGATAGATGGATGGATTGATGACTAAAAGAGTTTAAGAGGTAAGAAGGGTGTAAAAAAAAGTTTGCAGAAGGAATGATGGCGCGACAGAAGGAGGAAAGCAAAGCAGGACAGTGTTAAGATCAGAACACATAATCTGGCCTCGAGTCCAAAGAAGGTAGATTGGGAACTCTGAAGATAAAAAAGAAAGCAGGAGACCGGAACCGATGATGCATCAAAAGAGGTTAAAAGACAAGAACCTCTAACATTCTGTTTAAGGTAGCTTTTCAAAGATATTTCATAACTCTGAATCTGACCTTTAACATTAATCTCATGTGTTGTGTTTTCTAAAAAATTCCAGAAACAGAGCTGTTTTGCGTCTTTGAACTCAGTATTGCTCTGACATTTCATAGCCAATTATTTCAGCTCACTTCTCCTACTCTCACCTCTAACAAAGACAAAACAAATGTTTCCTTTGAGGCAGTGTTCCCCCCTGCTGCATAGTTTAGCTCTTAACACTAGAGATGTACGCTCTGTTGGTTCAAGGTCTGGGTTTGTGTGCAGGACACACACACACGTTCCACTTCATCCACATTGATTGAGTGCAGGTGCTTTGGCTTCAGCAGACTGATAGTTGCTGTCGGTGCCCTGAAATGTCTGCCAACTGCTGTCATGGGAGGGACAGACACAAGTGTTGCCCTTTTTTTCTTTTTTCAAACTGAAACCAAAGCAGTGATTTTCTCCCCTTTCTTAAAAGTTTTCCTTCCTTAAATGTTTTTTTACTGTGAAAAAAATATTGCTATTTAAGAGTCTGATAAAGACTCTTTTGCAGAGAGCAGGTTTTTTCTTTTTAAAGAGCTCAAAGACGGTGAATTGTTGTTCTTCTCTGAATTCTCTCAGATGCACCCTGTCATGGGCCGGTATTAGATTGACAGAGTTTGATAACCTCAAGTAAAAATACCACAGTTTCACACTCAAATTAAAAAATATAAATATCTGGCATTAATACATGGAATTAATAAAAACAAACAAAAAGGAAACAAAATTTAGTTGTTAATTATTAATTTTTCAGAACAATATGATGCTGTGGTGTTCTGCTCTACATACAGCATGCTGCAGTCGACTGCTTAATAGACATACATGTTGTTGGCTCCTTTACCTTCCACATCACAATTGTTGGTGCATGTTGCAACCAAAGCGTTTTTAAATAGCCACATTTGTAGTCTTCCTCTGGCAAGCCTGGTCAGCAGTGTGCAGCAACTAGTCAAGGGAGAAGCAGTGCTGCAGTGATGTTGGGGCACAGTCGATATCACTGCTCTCTCCAGGAACATCTTTTCAAAATTATTTGTAAAATGATGTTATACCTTGATATCTGCAATTGACTTGTTCCTAGATGATAAAAAGTTAACAGTCAGTTCATCCAGCTTGCTAATTTCTTAAATTCCTCAGTGCTGGATAACTGAATGCACAAGCTTTTCAGATTGTCTCTGGCAAAGCAAGCACAGAGGATTTATTAGTCTAGAAAGATATTTGTCATTGTTCATAAAATCACTTGAAATTTTTCTTTTTTGCACGTTTCGAACAATTGGGTATGTAATGTTGTTAAAGTTCTGATATATTTAGATATATCTGACTGAAGCTATTCCCACCGAGCAAAACTTGGTTGAAAAAATGACCTGATTTAAGTCCAAATGACGTCTACATTTGGTTGAAAAGAGAAAGGAAAAAAGCTATCATTTTCAGATTGCTGAAAAGACATTAAAAACTGAGTTTGCAATGTCTTTTAACATCTATTATTGGACTCCATAGGGACAACTGACCAGATTTAGCCTAAAAAAACAACGTCTAGATGACGTCTGGTATTTTGGTGGGTTACATCTAGAGGTGTATAAACATATCCCAAATAATGCAAATGTAGAAATGTACATTCACTTGCTTTTATTTGATCAGCGTAACAATTTTTTTAGAAATTGGCCACAGCATTTAGATTAAGATAGAAACTTCACAGGATGCTGTTTATTTTTTGTAGCTGAAAGTACATATGATAAAAAAAAAAAGACCAAATAAAATTATATCACCACCAGTAAGTTCATTAATTTGTCAGACTAAAGGGTTAGTAGATTATATTTCCTTTCCTAAAATGATTTAGAGAGAACAAAAAACGATGTATCTGACTTTTAATTCCAATAACGCTGTATATTTTTTCTTTGAGTCTGAGGTTTTCTAAAATAAAGTTTGGATACTTGAGAGAAAAATCTATGCAACACTATTAGTATGTCTCAATGCCAATATTGCAGAGGGGAAAAAAAAAACAGGTAACACTTTAGTTATTATAGACTAATTACATATGTAATTTGTCACAAAGAGCCACTTGGCAATATAACACATCAGAGTTTAGTGGATAGCTGTGTAAATTTTTTTTTCTAAATACTTCCCAAATGTTTATTCAAAAGGCGTTTGCCTGTTTGAATCTGAGAGGATTTTGGGAAAGTCCGAGTGAATCCTATATAATAAATGTCATTGCAGCATTTTTTTTACTATTAGGTTAATCAGAGACTTTACAGTATGTCTTGCTTATTTATAAAATTGACGGTCAGAAAGTTAAAAACCAGAACAACCCCCAAATAATGTTTAGCTGCAGCAATGGAATACATCTTGGAAGGTCACTAATTCTCCATAACCCCCTACCACACATTGACCAGTTATTTTACAGGGATGCAAACGGCTGGTTTTCTCTGAGAATTCACTTTTTGGAATCAAGCATTTATTTGATTCAGCTGGAAAACAAAGAAGATGGAAAGGATCACTGTTGAAAGCTTTTTTTATTTTTACACCAGTAGATCCATCTGGTTGAATACACAGTGTTTATTTTAAGAACCCTTCATTAATATTTACATTAAAAAAGAATGTACAACACTGTGCATGTGTGCAGCGGGTATACAATAAATTTATTGAGCTTAGCAAGTTAGCAACTCTCTCAAAACAAAAATTGTAAAGATAATTAGAAAAAAAAAATGGAGGATATAGTGTCAAAGAAAATGCAAAAATAAAACCATTTCCAAGAGGGATAAAACTTAAATAGTACTGGGAATACAGTATGAACATTGGTGTTCAATGAAGAAGGAGTCTAAGTCAGAAGCCTTCAGATGTTGCTGCAAAGTTAAGAAATGCACTACTGATAGCAATGCTACAGTATATAGTCTCTCAAGTTCAAACATTAAAACATTAAATATAGATTGATGATTGGAATTGAAAAGGGGGGCAAGAACTTAAACGGCGCAGCCCCCAAAAATACTCAAGATCCCATTCAATATCCTCTCAAAACCCACCGGTTTAAAGCGTTTACAAATAATAACTCAGAATGCATGAAATTTACACTGGTAAAATGTTTACCAATATAAAGCTTAGATTCCCCACAATTCGACCACCTAGTTAATTTTATGGACATAGTGAGCACCAAAGCACAATTATAGCAGCATGTCAAAATGTAGCATGACAAAGCAGCCCCAACAAGCAAGCATGTCTTTATTACTGCTGTTCAAAAAAGACTTCGAGAATAAAAAAACAACTTTGAGTCATGTTTGAACTGATCCAACTTTGGCTTGATACAGCTTAGGTGTTTTACTCACCCGGTTTTAATGTATATATTGAGAAACTGAAATGAAAAAAATGATCTACAAATAAGTAAAAATTTCTTAAAGCAAGTGTATTTACCCTTAATTTTAGTAGGTAAATGGGATGATTTGCCAATGGAATGAGTATTTTCACTCTTAAAATAAGATAATTAGATAATATGCACTTGTAACAAGACAATGCAGTTGCTTTTTCTTATTGTGAATTCTTGTCTCACTCACCTACTCAATTAAAGAACAAATGTACTTAGTTTAAGAAAAAAATACTTATTTAGATTTCCATTTTTTGCAGTGTGTTAGCTTTCAAATAATGTATCACACATGTAATTTGGGCTTACAGTTCCTTAGTTATTTGCTTTTCCATTTGGGTATGCAAAAAGGGGCAAATGTCCCAGAAATGAGGATATGATAATAATAGTAACTGAACTTTACTGATCTCGAATGGGAGAAATTTACCTCTACATTCAAACCATCCCCTTGGGGAGCAGTGTGGGGTTAAGGGTCCTGCTCAGAGACCCAGAGTGGCAGTCTGTGGGAGTGGGGCTCGAACACAGAACCTCAGGATTCCAAGCTCTATGCCCTGACCACTGCCCGATAAATCCTTAATTTAGGGCTCATCAACAATGCACTTACTGGAAAGGAGAATTTTATTGCATTTAACTTGAATTAATTCAAATTAAAAGGGTCCTAGCCTATGACTTTTTTATTTATTACCTGAAATACTTCTTACCATGATATTGTGTTCCTGTTTGAGTTTGATAGGAATGGGAATTTTCTTTTCACTTTAGCTTCTGATTGTAGTCTCTGAGGAGGATTCTCTGAAACTTAGAGTTGCTGTAGATTGGTTTAATAATTACATTTGCTTGGTATTCAACAACACTGAGCTGTCATTTTTCTGTAAGGCATTACAGGATGGTCGCTCTTGTTAAGCCTCTATTATGTAGCTGCATGATGCCACCATTTGGCTTTCTGGTAGTTCTGCAGTACGACTGACTGATAGGCTTCTTGTCTGATTTTGTCTGCTCATGGCAACCTTTGTTGATATTATATATAGTCTCAAATAAGACTATCCAAACACTGTCAGGATGGGAGCATGGTGTATAAAGCCTTATTTTATTATATAAAATGTAATTGGTCTTTTATGTATATGCATATATCATGACAATGCCTCTTTAAAAATGGTTTAGGATCCACAATGCAGTCTTCTTCCAAACCACTTGCCAAACCATGGTGTGCATGTCAGTATAAAATAACTATTCTTCTAGTAGGTTTTTCAAATACATAAAAGTTCTAACCTTTAATGTATCTTTTTTTGTTCTTTCACTATTCTAATGTATAAATATGTATAAATGTTTTGTACTCTAAGTAGTCCAAACCACGTTTGTGCATTTACATAGTGTATTATTGCATCCACATCTATTTCTGCTGTGGTCTGAGCACTCTCACATTACTGATGGATGTTTGGTATATTCTTCCTGCAGTAACTCTGACATATACTACCTAATGGAGGAGGATCTGTGAATCCCACCAAAAGCTATCAATATTCCTTTCTCTGTGGCCACATTTGCGCAGGCCTTGCATCATCAAAAGGCTGCAGATCAAAAGACACTCCCCTCTTGTCCCTTGTTCTGAGCCCACCGGGAATATGGACACCTGTGCGAGCCACATCTAGACTATATACTACTTTCCAAACAGATCCAAACTGTCTTCTCCTGACCTTTCTTTTGATTCATGGTTTTAGTCTGTCAAGCGCTGTTATAAATGAAGATCACAAATGGGTCATGGCTTTCATCCTTCCAAAGTTCAGAGTACAAAAGAGGAGGTTTAGTTGTGAGCAGCACTGGCTCTGCATTGGTCCCCTTTAACTGAAAGAACTTTTTTTTTTTGCGTATTAACAGAGAGATCAACTGAAGTATCAGATATTCTTTTTGCTTTTTTCTTTACAATAGGACCAGAAAATACTTTCTTAAATACATCAAAAAGAAGGCTGAGAAGGTATTGGTCATAAGATTAGATTGAAGTCAAAGAACATAATATATAAGATGGAGACATGTTTTCATATACCTTTTAGACATGGATGTACCTCCATTAGATGAGCAAACGTTGAGTGATTTCTCTAATATAAACACATCTTCTCTTCTTTTACAGATTATAAAGGACCAGAAACTGTTGATTATTGTCGGTGGGATGCTACTTATCGACTTATGCATCCTGATTTGCTGGCAGATCGTGGACCCTCTCAGGAGGACCGTTGAGGAATACAGCTTGGAGGTCAGAGTGCATTTGATGCTCTTTCTCCTCGTGTCTAAACATGTGCTCAATTTTAACATGGCTTTATTAATCTGACTGGCCTTTTCTGACAATGAGGGCCAGAGTGAATAAAACTGAGTTATACTGAGTAAGGCAAATGCCTTCATTTATATTTTAGCAGAATCCTTGTCACGTCTTGCGTTTGTTGTTATATTTAGGCTAGGATGTGAGCCATGGCTGCCTTCTGTGCTCATTCTATTCCCGGATCTTTGCCAGTTTCAATGGGAGGCATTGGCAGGGGCCAGTGGAAAACACGCACTTAGTATTACATTCATTCTGCCGGAGAGGTTGTTGGGTGTAAGAGAGATATTATCACTGCTGTACCCTGAGAAGTCAGAGATCTTCGACAGGAAAAACATAACAGTATTGATTTTAGAAAGTGATGGTGTGTAATTTTGACTGAGCTATTAACAAATGTCTTTGTGATGATTTAACAGACATCATGGTAATTTATAATAGTGGATTAAACAACATGGGAATAATTCAGCTGAATATTCTAAAAAAAGATTCACTGCAGTGTTATGTTTGAGGTAATTAAAGTTTTACTGCCAGCGACAAAATAGCAGGATTAAGAAATATTTTAGAACCATCAGTTTCTTAGTTGCTAGCCCTTTAAAAAATATTTAGCTTAAGGTAAGTGTTGTGCAGAGTATTGGCAAGGAGTAGATGCCATATGGGATGATCTATTTGAATAAAATGTTTAATCAAGTAAATTAAATCTGGATTGTGCTAAATCTAAGAGGCCTTGGCTCATAGTTGGCTTATCATATGAAAACCATGGTGAATATATGTATATATATAGAGAGAAAAAACCAACTGGGCATTCTGTGTTGGTAGCTATTTAAAAAGGTTTATGGTAAATTGTGCAAAATATTGGGGATGCATTCACTTTCCTCATTTTACCTTGGGTTCAGCTGTGATAAATTTTTGTCAAGCAGTTGGCATAAGGCTATTACATTACTCCTTTCTAGCCGGAAAAGCTCATGCAAATGTTGTCCGGCAAGATGTGGGCAATCAATGAGAATCTGGGAGAAGAATAAATACTTTAGGCTTACAGGTTTAAGCAGTTTTCTGCTACCATGTTTATATAGTGGAGCTTAAGTCATATTAAAAGCTAAACTGATGCCATTTTAAAGAAATATTATTTTAAAAAAAGTTCATTATTCATTTAAATTAATGATTGAAACATATTCAATAGAATATAACATGAGTTTCCATTAACATCCACTAAAAGCAAAGTATTTAAGACTAAAACTTTACATACAGCTATTAAAAAACATTCTCAAGTTAGCTTTCTTCAAAGACTCCCATCCTTCTACTAAGTTGTTTTTTTTCTTTTATGAGTCATTCCTGACATTAGTGTGTAGTTCAGAAGATGTCAGACTGCCTCTCAAGGGGCTGGAAACCTCGAGAATTTATGGCATCAGTTTATTTTAATTGACCTTTGGATAAAGCAGAGGTAATTAAGAGGTCAGAAAGAGATGTAGAATCTTTTGTGGAATTTAATGGAAACTTCTTTTGATAATTTCAGATGGATTTTCTTGGCTTATTTGCTTGTTACCAGGGACCTGAGGGGGGAAAAAGTGTGTTATACTGTAGCGGACAATGTTTGGACTTTTTATCTTCAGATTTGAAATACATTCGGTCTGGAGTCTGGTAAAAATGAAAATACCTCTTCATGGCATCTTTAGAGGAGAGATGTTAATATTATACTTGAGACTTATTTACATTATATGGTCTATTTGAATATATGTCAAGATTAAAATTGTTTAACGATAAAGCCCATATATCATTGTACTGATTCCCCTTTCTATTTTTGAGTCTACCCTGGTGGCAAAGGAAGTCTTGTTTAACATATTCATTGTGAATGTTGTCAGTGTATTAAGGTCCTCATGGAGTATTCTTTGACTAAGCCCTTTGTCAAGGGAGTGTTTTGAATCTATAAACCATGGAGTGGAGGAATCTGCATTTCCCCAGAGGTTGTGGATATGCAAGCCTTTGCTGAGGCACATTCTCCACATGCCTGCCCAGCTTTCCAGACTTCCAGCACCAGCAATGAAAGACCCTTGGGGCTGAGCTGGAGGGAAAGCAGCTCTGAGCTACTCTGCACTGAGGGCCTGAAGGCCTGTAAAGTGGAGCCTCAAAGCAGATGGCAGCCCCAGCACCTGGAGAGGGGTTAATTAAAAAACGGGGACAGGGAAAATTAAAAGGAAGTATATTAATTAATCAACATTTAATAATAAAGTCACCTTCTTAAGGTGTGTAAATAAGTTCAGTAGGTCTATATTACAGTATTTCTGGAAAGAAATGTCAATGCCAAGATTTGCATTATAATGATGATAATTGAATTTTATTTATCTCACAATGGAGAAATTCACCTTTGCATTTGATCCATCCCCTAGGGGAGCAGTGGGCCGCCACTCTGTGGAGCCTGGGGAGCAATAAGGGGTTAAGGGTCTTGCTCAGGGACCCAGATTTAAGGCTGTGGGGATTGAACCAGGTGCTTGCAATGTTCTCAGAGCACAAGCACAGTGCTTACTCATACTTACTAGGCCAAGACTCCCACATAAATCACAACCACATTCAAATCAATCTTTCTGGGGTGGAAAATAATACAGTTAATGTCTTCAAAAGTCCTACTTAAGTTAGTGTAGTGCTAATTCATTATGTTTCTACTCAAGTAAATGCAAAAAATATATAGGTAATAGGTAATAATAATGAAATAAATTAAGCAACAATAAAGTATTTGTGAAAATACTACTTATTATTGGGGCAAAACATGTCTGCTGTTACTCACAGTAGGTAGAGTATCCAGTAATCTTACTCAAGAAATAGTGATACAATAACTTGGGAAAGAGTGAAAAGTACAGGGACGCCACATGGCTCAGTGGTAGAGCAGATGCACCATATGTAGAAGCTGAAGTCCTCAGCACACTTCTTTCATTCCTGGCCCCAAACCATTTGCTGCATTTCTTCCTCTTTTTTCTCTGCCCTACTTTGTGTCCTACTAAGACCACAAAAACGTAAAAGTAGGATGCCCTAAAACTACTCATTAAAAGAGTCATAACCTGGTGTTTTAGTTACACAATTCTTCTGAAATTTTCTTTAATTTAATGTTTAATCAGTTTTAGATTAAGCAAAAAAAAAAAAAAAAATGGTGCTTATACTCGTTTTTTTATGTTTTTAACTTGTGTGTATTGTACTTAAATGTCTACTTAGCTCAGAAAATGATCAGTTTATTGTGGTTAGTTTACCGTAATTTCCTGGTCTCTTATAAAATAGGTAAAAAGCTAAGGAAGCAGTAACACTTAACGACTTCCTGCAGGTGTGACCCTGGTTGTTTGAACAGGCCTTTTTGGTGGAATACAAATGGAAGCGGTGATAGCAAGGCTGGCTAATGTTAGAACACTTCTAATATTAACATCAGTAAAGCAAGAGGAACACAATCACACTTTCTAGTGAGGAAGATCTTGTGGGCTTTTCTTATTTAAAAAAGAAAAACCAAGCCATTCTCACACTGCAAATTTTCAGGCAGTTTCAATTAAAGCTCAACACTTTATACACATTTATACACATGTTATAACATGAAGTCAGATTTCCAGGTCCTTTAATAACAAAATCTATATCATAAAATCGACTGTATGAAATACAGCTGTAATTGTGGGTTGTATTTAATTTAGAAAGTGCACACACAATACATTTGGTTCTAAAAAATTTAAGGAAGGAGCTCTCCCTGGCTCAGGGACATGTGACGTTCCCTTTTACTAACTGGAATTACAGCACCAGTATTTTCCTGATTTGTTGCTGGTCATCACATCATAATAAAAGTACATTCTCCTGTGACTTTCCTCTTGTTTCAAACTTGCAAACCTTTTTTTTTCCTCTGCAAGCTCTCTACCTCTCTTTTTGTCAGTATCAGCACTGCTCCTCACTCGAATTTTCCCACGGTAGTGAATTGGGAGTTAACCATAAGTTCACAAGGCTGCACTTCCTTGCTTCACACAAGGGTCTGCTGTATCCTTGCATACTTTTGAAGCACCACAGTGGGATAGCCCTGCACCTTTCTTGCCTGAGTCATTCCAGAAAAGAAAAATCTTTACTGACTCAGAACCAACTAGCATTGCTTACAGAACGGCGTGTTGAATGTTTAAGGGATTTTTTAATTTTAAACACAGGTACACAGACAATATAATCCACAAAACAGTATTTCTCAAATCTCTTTTTCAAAAACCCTCATCTAAGTTCTAACTAAATGCAAAGTTCTTGTACAATAATTGATAGCTAAGGCCTGTTTTCCCTATTGGTTTAATTTTCTTTCTTTTTTTTTTTTTTTTGTTAAGCAGCAAAAAAAAACAAAAAAACCATCTCTTTATGCTACCCTGATTTGTAGGAGAAATTAGGGTGTTCTCTTAATTAAAAAAAAAAAAGCTGACTAAGTATCTGATTAAAAAAAACAAAAACAAAAAAACATTTTAAATATTCTGGTAGACCACAGAATTAAAAATGACAATGCTTACAAATAACAACAAACAAGTTTGTTAAAATGCTAAAGAGGTCATTATAAGTCCCAGCAACCGGGTCTAAGCAATTAGACCAGGGCCTTACCTGAAGTTTTATTATTTTTTTTCTGTCAGAATTAATGCAGATGTCAGTATTTCCATTAGTTTCCAGATTACAGTATGTCTCACACTATAAACACATTCTTTAACATATAAATATTATCTAAGTATACGGTGAATGTATGAAACTTTATATATTAACTATAAAACAACTCAAATTAATGATAATTTTGTTGTTTTTTATCAAAATATTATTTTTGGGTTTTCTGTTTAGTGAATTGTTTGCCTCAGTGTTAACTGCATTGTTATTTTGGATTTAAAACCTCTGCAAAAAATGAAGATTTAATATTAACACTGCATTGCATCAGCATGATCAATTCAATTCAGTTTATTGAAATAAAT